CAGCGGGTAAACTTTACGAAGCGTTATTGAAACCAAGACTGACGAACGCGGTAACTGCAAATGGAGGACTTGCAGGAAACCAGCACGGATTCAGACGGGACTGCTCAACTATAGGGGCGATTCGACAAGTGACCGACGCCTTTCGGCGGACGGGGCGCGTGTGCTACGGAGCGAGGCCAATAGTACTTCTCGCGACTCTTGATGTCAGGAATGCCTTCAACTCCGCTCGGTGGGGGGATATTCTGGAGGCCCTACAAACTTTCAGGGTTCCTGAATACCTGATGCGGGTGATGAGGGAGTACCTACACGACAGATGGATTCGATACGAGACGACCGACAGAACAGTGACCAGACGAATCACAGCAGGAGTCGCCCAAAGTTCAATCCTTGGACCCGACTTCTGGAACATACTGTACGACGCACTACTAAGACTACCGATGCCACCGGGGGTGGAGCTGGTTGCCTACGCCGATGATGTGGCTGTGGTGATAATAGCCCGTACCCCGGAGCTGGCGCAAATGCTTCTGAACCGCGCGATGTTACGAATCAATAGATGGATGACTGAACGCGGACTTAGCCTTGCCCTGGCCAAGACAGAACTCATCCTTCTGACGGGAAGCAGGATTAATACCCTGATTCCTATGACAGTCGGAGAGGTATCGCTGCGGACCAGTAGGGCGGTCGAGTATCTGGGGGTGACCCTAGATACGAAGATGACCTTCTGGCCGCACATACAACAGACAGCGAGGAAGGCGGCAGAGAGGACTTCCGCTCTCAGTCGTCTTATGGCAAATACATTTGAACCGAGACAATGGAAAAGACGACTACTGATGACAACGACCCACTCGATCATGCTCTACGGGGCGGAGGTGTGGGCCGACGCGTTGGAGGTCAAGAAATACTGCAAACGACTGACAAACGTACAAAGACAGGGAGCACTGAGGATAGCCTGCGCCTACAGGACAGTCTCGGCTGAGGTTGTCCTGGTGGTGGCGGGGGTTATCCCGATAAACATGCTCGCCAGAGAGCGGAAACGCGTGTACGAACGAAACAGTGACATGACCAGAACGGAAGCCGCCCAGGACGAAAGAACTAGGACGATGACGGACTGGAACAAACAATGGAGGATGAGCACGAACGGAGCATGGACTAGACGACTCATCGACGACCTGAGACCGTGGACGGAGAGGCAATTTGGGGAAGTGAATTTTTACCTGACCCAGTTTCTTACCGGCCACGGGTACTTCAGGAAATATCTGTTTGACAGAGACAAAGTTAACAGCGCCGACTGTAAATACTGTGGATACAAATGTGATGACGCAGAGCATACATTTTTCAAATGCTCACACTGGAACGACGAAAGGCAAAGACTGGAGACGACACTTGGAAACATCACGCCCAACAACATTGTAGCAAAGATGCTACAAGACAAAGACTACTGGACGGTAACGGCAACGTACGTTGAGACTATCCTACGAGGGAAAAAGGCGGACGGTTGCCTGGAAGTCGAGTGTTAGACGAGAAGAATGCGAGAGTAAATGGTATGAACAAATGGATGAATGTGAATAAACGGACGTAACGAAACGATACAGGACCCGTGGACAACGAGAGGACTTGACGCGGTTCTCCAGCGGGAAGTAATGCTTACGCGGTTCCCCGCTGAAGAATGGTGTAGGTGGATTTTACTACTCTTCCCCGGACGGTTTACCCTCCGGTTGAAGAGAAGCGGGATTTGGGCGGTCAGCTGGTCTTCGACGACCCGGAGGCTCCTTGCGCTCGATTGATAGATCGCTTGAAACAGCCCGGTCTGAGAGGATCAGCGAGTCACGTCATACGGCGGGTGGGAGAGTGTAGGTGGGTAGCTTCGGTGAACTGCCGTCACACTCCAACCGTTATGGTCCATGAGGATTTATCCTGTTTTTTTACCACCATAAAAAAAAAAAAAAAAAAAAAAAAAATTAAGATTAATAAATTATAATAATGTTGTTATTATGTACAGAATTAGCGCTTTCAATTCATATACTATTATTTGTTTAAATAAATTATTAATTGTATATTTATTGGTAACAGTAATAACTAAGTTGTTATCAATGAAACAAGTTTTTACTCATGTTTCTTAGATAGTCATCTTGAGTTCAGAGTATTCGCTTTATTATAATAATTAACATTTACAAAGTTATAAACAAATTAAGTTTATATATTAAAATTTAATACGATTTAGTAGTTAAAAGTAATTGAAAATATTATAATCTTAATCTATGCCCTAAAATCTATATAAAAAATACTTTGTTTCATTGAAATTACTCTTAACGCATTTTAATTGAACAATAAAAATTATCATATCTATTTCTATAAATAGACGGCACGCTTCTTACATGGTCATGCAATTTGACTCTAGCACTAATACAATCATATAATATGAGAGGTGGTGCCGTTTAATATGCTAATTGACATATGTAGATTTATGAGTTTAGCGAGTCATAGTTATGCAGTGAAAATAAGAGAAGAGCTCATAGATAGGATTGTTACACTAATACTTACTTACTAATGGTATACTTTGTAAAAAGTCAGTTATTTCTAGATTGTAATATATTATTTTTAGCTACCTAGGGATATATAATGTACATGACGTAATCAGTTAAAGAAATCTAGGTTAAATTAAGAAACTTAGGTGGGAAAAATACAAAAAGAAAGAATTTACAGAAGTCAAGCACTGTAGTCTAGCTAATTGAAGTAGAATTAAGTATCTAATCATTAATGTATTTAGCTCGCGATGTATAAGTTGATATTATACATTAATTTATAGATATAGATATATTTATACATTAACAAATAATTGAAACTAACCTTTAACTATTTATAATGGGTTTTTATCCACAACGTAATGTTTATAAGTAACTTTTTACACTTCGTATAGTGAATTCTTTTATTAGATTATCCTATATTAATGGATTAAATACATATACATTGTTGTATACCAAAAATAAAGTATCAATTCTAATTGAAATAAATAATAACTTCCAAAACTTAATATTTTTCAATCAATTTTTTAAAAATAACTTTTTTTTTGCTATTCATGTAGTAAATATAAACTACGTCTTTGGTTCATCTATGACAGAAGATATTTAGTTTTTCATTAAAAATAAAGTGCATGTCTTTTTTATTTAAAAAAACGTAAAAAATTCAAAACAAGGTGTTTTATTCCGACAAATCTTAAAACTCCGGGATGTTTTTAGTAATATATTAAAGGTCTTATATTACTCTAACTATGATAATATTTTAAGAGAACAAAAATTTTTTAGAGAAAATCAATTTTGAATTTTTTTTTCAATGCATTTTCCCGCCATTTATTAATATTGATTAATTCCGTTCGTACAATTAAAAATAGTGTTATAAACACTACGAAATAAGTGAAGAAACATTTTCGAATATTAATAAATAAAATATATAAAGCGTAACGGGGGAGGTTATCTGAAAAATGAGAAATTTATTTAAGAACAAACTCCCACGATGCAGAGCAAACCGCCGCTCCGTTAAACACGTATTATAATACGTGTATTCGCCTTAACGTCAGATGATTTATCCTAGTTGTCTTCTATCGAACGGAGTTGAACCCACCTTAAGTCACGTGTCTTGTTACACTTGATGAGTTTTAAGTGTGAGCGACTTTACTCCTAATCTTCTTAATCCCTTAGACGTAATTGGATTAAAACCTAAGCCTTTTTCAATTACTTAAGCTACTAGGAAAATTAAATGACGAAAACGGCGAATAAATTTAACAGACTTTAATTAATAAAAAAAATCACTACAGTCTTTGTAGGGCCGAAAGACTAACGCTCGCGAATAGGATTTTACAATTAACTATTTTGCGTGATAAAGAGAGAGAGAGAAGATTCGAATATTACCGCGAACTAACGCTTGGTGCGAATAAAAAAATAACCATATCACGAATATACAAAATATCGAAAGTATTTTGTATCGCTTAATATAATGGAAGGTGCACCTACCATGCAGTGCAATTACGGTGATCAGCCGTAATTGTTATTGCAAAAATTTCAACTGCCGCTGCCCCTCTATTATCAGCTGCGCTGCCTCAATTCGCCTTTATCTACTGCAAATCTGCTGATTCTGTACCGCTGCTTGCTGCTGCAATACTATTGTTGCACCCACGCACGTAATTGTTCAGAAAACTAATTATTTTTGCAAATCAAAGTGCAAAACACAAGTCGGCAGTAAACTCGCGTGAACAGCTGAGGCGTAACTGTCTATTCAAAAGATCGCGCGCCCCCTCTTGCTCTTAGCTGTTAGAACTAACGCGCGAGAAGCAGAATCGCGAACGGTTCGATTAATTAAATCGACTACCGTTGCAAAAGCAAAATAAAAAAAAATTTAGAATCAATTTTCGATCAAATAAAATTTCCGACATACACTTTCAAATACACTTTCAAAGTACAATTTGTGCAATCAAAAAATGAAAAAATATAGATTGGCTTATTTTTAATACTTAACAACTTACTGTCACTGTGACTCGATCTGAGATAAGGCTGTCATCGGCATGCCTGATTTGAAATAAATTCGGTCACATATAAACAGCAATAAATTCAATTTAGAATAGATTATTACTATTATAGATATAATTCAGTTTACCCATAAATAAAAAATATAACTAATACGTTATTTAAAAATACGTTGTTCTAAATTCTAAAGTTTGCATTGATATATATTTATGCCATTTCTAAATGGATATCTTCTTATATTACCATATAAGTTTCAGCAAGTGAATTTCGCTAGTCTTGAAGGAATGGAAAATGTTCAAAACATTTATACTTAAAATTTATACTTAAAAGTTGATAAAATAGGCTGAAAAAGCTTCTGAAAATTTAGGGATCTAAAGGTTGAGTATTCTTCTTTTTTTCTGACAAATATTTCAAAATCAATAAATATCCTTAAAGAGGTTTTAAAATAGCAATCTTATAGATCATACATTTTAGTTCACTTACAATTCTTAGTTTCCAGATTTCATCTCCAACTCGTTTAGCATAATCTATATCATCAGTTATAAGAATGTTATCAAAAATTGTACCAGATTTCACTTGCCACAAATCAAATCCAACAGCACAAAGTTCTTTTTTTCTGTATAGCTCTGGATCAGGTTTATATTCGGGATTATCTATTTCGGGATGTACCCATGGACCTTTATAGTTAGGATTATCTATTTGCTTTGGTTTCCATTCTCCCTGAAAATGACAAAGTTATTTCTTATTAATCAAATTAAAATTATAAGTCATTTATTAGTAACGTAGATCTTCTTGAAGAATCACTAAAAAAGTTAAAATACCATGAGGTGATTATTGAATATTAAATTACTTATTGATTTATTTATATTATCAACGTATATGGAAAGTGAAAGTTCCGTGCAGTATTTAGAAAAGACATTGTCGTTTTTTTATTTTTTGAAAAGAGCTTGAGTTTGTCACATCTACAGACAATGCATGGTAAACTAACAATCGTGCTGACATATTATGCACATGAACTATTGTGTACCGAAAATATGGTATATTATATCTATATATCGATTTTCATGTATGTTACGGTGCACAACAGTTTACGAGTATATGTATTATAATTATATGTATGATTGCTAGATTGCCCGATGCATTATGAGGAATCTTCCTAATTTGTAAGAAAAGCTTTTAATACATATTAACATACGCTTCTGACAAGATAATTGTTAAATGATATATTTCTGAACAATGGATTAGTATTCACGGCCCTCTTAAATATCCACGCCGATCATGAATTACCTTGTTTGACTACACAAACCGGCAAATTTTAGGCCCAGAGACTAAATCTCGTATATACGAAGGGCTTTGATGTGCTGAATCCGAATCCAAGCTTAAAATATACCCTATACGTCAAATTTCCGAGATATCCTAACCTAAAAGTGCAAAAAATACAGGTGTTTGCTATATTTGAGCTCTTGTTACATCGCGCATTTTTATTTTATTGAGAATCTGGAAAAATGTTAAAAAGGACAAGTTTTTTACTTCAAAAAACACTAACCATTTTTTAAAATTGGATTTTTGCAAGGTATAAGATGTACTTCGAAGAAGACAAAATCTGAGTTTTCAATGACACCATAATTCATTTTGATGTCATTCCATTTTTCCAAAAGAAAAATACCTCAGGAGTGCGATAAGAGACTATTGTTTTATTTTCAGTATGCTTATATAAATTTAAAATATAAACTACTCAGACAACAGTAAACGAGTACAATGATCGAAAATTTGAAATAGTGGACATGACGAGCCAGAAATCTACTGTCAGAAACATCGGTTACCGAATAAATTAAATCAGGTATTTACGAGACCTTCCATAGTTTCCATTCCGTGGATTTATTCCATAGCTTCGAGGGTATCATAATACCAAAACATTATACGCCACAAACTTAAACCCGTGATAGGGAACACTCTCATAACAGCTCCATAAAACCGGGAACCTACAACAAATTAATTCAGAAACCCAAACCCCAAGAAGCCCAAGAGATCTCTATTTTTTACTATAGATTCAGAATGAGTGAAAAATTCAAATTTATTTTATGTTCTTTAAAGTCATTCGAAGGTTAATTAAGAAATATGAAGTTAAGAAGATATTTTTTTGAATATTATTTTTTATTATCCGTTAATCAACATTTTGGTGGTACATTTATACGTTCATTTTCAATAATTCAAGAAGGTATATACTACTTTTTTATAAAGCAGAAGATTATGTTTGTCTAATAAAATAAAATGTCAACAGTTGATAATAAGAGAACTTCTTCGGATGGATTTACATGCGTCAGTTAAACGTTGTATCATATTTTCCCTTGTTGTGGGCACTTCGATATAAAATACATTTCTCAAAAGTTTCCATAAGAAAAAATCAACTAGTCACATACGGAGATTTGCCACCTATTCCGTTCGTGCACATAAGCATTACAGCCAAATGAGTAGGAAACTAATTGGATAGTTTCTCGTCAACTCGACTGAATAATTCAAATACGCATTTTGCGCAGACTATTATATAACATTTTTCTTCGTTTTCTCTAATTCGTCTTCCGGTTATAGGATAACAAATTTACAAAGTTTATTTAGCAACAATCAGTCGCTCGTTATGTGTATACTGCATTCGTAAGTGTGACGATACTCTCAGTGCTTAATATATCTCTCAAAAGAAAATTATTATCTCCAGCATTTTCAATATTCAGTGTCAAGTGAATTCCTCGGGATTTTCATAACGTTTCAATATTTTTGTAACGAATGACGAGTGTCAATGTTTCAATTAAGATTTTCAATTGATAAAATTGAGTTCTTATAAAAAAAAAACTTAGAATATATTTCATAAACATGGCCAAGAGAGCCCGTAGCAAAAAAGACAATCTTTCAGTCAATCCAGAAGAGTCGGATTTTAGTTTAGATGAATCCATTGACGATGCAGATGAATGTGATTCATCAGAATTGGATGACTTAGTAAATGATGACAGTGTTTGAATTCATAATGGACTCAAAATGTAGGCAATTTTGGTGTAGATAGGGACTTTTTTGATTCACCTTCAACTATCAAAATACTTTCAATACCGAAGAAAAATGTCGAATCATTTTTATTTTCTCAAATTTTCACGACTTCGCTATTAGACAGTGTAGTAACTAAGACTAATAAATATACATTTCAAAAAAAAGAGTAAGAATTGGCATGATACGAATAAGGAAGAAGTTTCGGCTCTCTTTGGAATGTGGATTCTGATGGGTATTCACAAATTGCCAAGAGTAAGAAATTATTGGAGTTCAGATCCATTTCTCAAAGTTGATTATGTTTCAAATATTATGCCTTATACTCGATTTTGTAAGCTGACGGAAATGATACATTGTAATGATAATGATTCTATACACCCAAGAACTGACCCAAACTACGACAAGCTCTACAAAATCAGACCATTGATCGATTATATCAACCAAACAAGTAATAAGAGTTATAACATCTCAAAGACCGTTTCTGTAGATGAGTCAATGATCCCCTTCTCGGGACGGTCCTTTTTTATTCAGTACATATTTCAATAAAGCCAATAAAACGAGGGTTCAAAGTTTGGTGTTTGGCTGACTCATCTACAGGTTACGTGGTCAAATCTTAGGTCTATACTGTAAAAGCCAGAGATGGCTCGAAAAATACACTTGGAGAACGTGTAATTCTGAACTTAGTAACAAATATTCTGGGTGTTGGATATTCGGTAGATTTCGATAACTTATTCACTTCCGTCAACTTAATTGAAGAGTTTCTCGATAAAGGTATCTACTCAGTTGGAACAGTTCGAAACAATAGGACAGGGTTGCCAGAAATAATGAAAGCAAAGGAGAAAATGTAAAGAGGAGATTTCAATTATAGAATCAAAAAAGATATTTCTGCGATCAAATGGATGGACAGGAAACCAGTCATAATGTTGACGTCAGCTTTCAATCCTACGGAAACTGTCCAGATCACTCGGAAACTGAAAGATGGATATCGGCTTCCTATATTTTGTCCAATTACGATCCAGGCTTATAAAAAAATGGATGGTGTATATAGGTTTGATTAATTGAGGGAAATATATATAATAGGAAGAAGATCTAAAAAATGGTGGCATTCAATAATGTATTATTATATAGATCTGGCTATAGTCAATTCTTATATTCTACACAAATGTTATAAGGAAGGTGAGTATGAAGATCAATTAGTATGTAGAATACAGTTAGCGAAATAATTGATTGGCGATTACTACGGAAGAAAAAGATTCAGGGATTCAAAATAATATGAATATATCTATGTTATTTTGAGTATACTCGAACTGACGACAATCTCTGAACCTTATTCTAACGATACTTACAAAAACGAAGGGGAAAAAAATATAAAAATTATTAAAAAAAAATCAAATTAAAAACACAAAAAAATATAAAAATTTCAAAAAGTACAAAAAAAAAAAAAAAAAAAAACACCTCATCAAAGTCCGAACTGCAACCTTCACGTCATATTGAATATAAGTTAGTGAAATTATCACTGAAACTAATAGAGTTAAGGCTATGCAGCTGATAACTCAATTGACCCTCAACCTGACTAGTGATATGAGAATTCATAAATTCCTATCTCATATAATTTTCGAAAAATCTCACATAGAAATATATTCATATTTTCGTTTTCTCGACACAGAGTACAGTATAATCGTAATTTGACGTTCCTCAAAATCTTGATTTTTTTTCTTTCCCGTTCCCATATTGGATCCGTCATCTTGAATTTTTAAAATCTGACCTCGGATTCAGATTTAGCGTGGCTCGAGATCCCATACAAGGGAATCAACCCAACCCGACCTAACTGATTTAAATGATTTTGGGATATGTTGTAGTACTTGAAAAAAAATTAAATATGTGTTTTTTTTTATTGGCCCATAAGGGCTTTTAAGGGGTGAAATCCACCCTGAAAATCAACCCCTAAAATTAGTTTTTTTAATATTTTTCAGCATCAAATGAATATTTTTCAGTAAAATCAACGTTAAAAAATTTCTTATAAAAAGGCGCTTTTAAGGACATAACATTTATAACAAAGAGTTGCAACCCCCTTTTTAATAGGGGTAAATATACTATTTTTTGTACTGTTTTACGACATGTAATATAGTAAATCAGCTCGAGTGATTTGAAAATCGCACTGATAATGAGAAAATACCAAAATTAAATTGGCGTGTTTCCGGATTTAAAAAGAAATATGTTTAAGGGGTGTTTCACCACCTAGAAACCACCCCCGTCAAATTATCAGCAGGTTAATCCACCTAACCCTGGGATAAACAAGTTTAGTCGTTTGTTATTTCTTGAAATAATTTAATCCTATGTATGAGTTAGCTACCTCAACTAACCTACCTGCCTCTAACCCACCAAACCCCCATAAACCACCCTTACCAAACCACATGCAGACTAACCCACCTAATCCTGGGAAAAGCAAGTTTAGTCGTTTGTTATTTCTTGAAATAATTGAATTTTACACCATATGCGAGTTATCCCAGCTGAATCACATACCTCTTATCCACCTACCCCTAACCTATCTAACCTCCACCCTTATAAACCACCCTTACTGAAACACAGGCAGGCTAAACCTCCTAACCCTGGGAAACACGAGTTAAGTCGTTTGTTATTTCCTGAAATAATTTAATCATACGCCTCAGCGTGCTACCTGAACTAAC